AACTTTGAGCTCTAGTAATGTGCAGACTTTAAAGCTGCTGATTATAATTCAAATATAGTTTCAAGGTTTAGTCCATTCTTTGAAAGTTTTCAGCCTTAAACAGTCTGGCTCCTCTATGCTTCTCAAAGCACCTTTTCTAAAGTTACCATCTTGTTACGTCTCTGATTAGTTGCCTTGCTACTAATAGGTGTCCTTCCAGTTTACAGTGTTCCCTCACTACTTTGCGGTTTGTTCTTAGCAGACTCGCTGTTTCGCGGGTTTTTGAAAATATTAATAAAAATATTAAATATTAAATATTTATGTCCTGTGAAGGCCAGGGAGGCAGGGACCCCGGAAGTGCAGTGGCCTGAGACAGGGCGGGGAAGGCCTGCCTCCCTAGCCTGCTGCTGCCTGTGTGGCTCCGGAGGCTCTGCGGAGGCCAGGGAGGCAGGCCTTCCCCACCATATTTGATCATCTAAAGCTGATATGGTAGTAGTAATCTTTTGTGGGTAGTCAGCCTCTCCCCTCCTGACATCCCTGTTGCCTCGTAACTATAAGAGGGTTTTGCAAGACCAGTCGCTCTAGTTGCCGCATGGTTTTGAGGCAACAGTACAGTAATGGTGAGGCTGCAGACCATATTTTCATCCTTGTGGACCACAGGTTGGGAACCACTGCATTAGTTGTTCAAGCTTCCAAGTCAGGATTGCAGATTTGTGATTCTTGCAGCTTTCTCCACTTGCTACAGATCACATCTAAATTCAATCACATAAGTCTACAGCACTGGCAGGTGATATTTTCTTTGGTATGGTACGTCTGCCAGTCATAGTCTTCCTCCTCCTCTTCATCTTTGCATAATCTCCTGGAAAATCATCACTACAATGAAGAAAAGTGTATTCTTCAAGCATTGAGATGGTTAAGGCTGTAGAATGAATGCATTTGGAACCACTTTGTTTGCCTTGTCTCAATGCTACGGAATTCTCAGATTTGTAGTTTGTTGAGGCACCAGCCCTCTTTGGCAAAGAAGGCTAAAGACCTTGTAAAACTAAAACTCCCATGATACCATAGCATTAAGCCACGGTAATCAAAGTGGCCAAACTGCATTACTTCTTCAGTGTAGACTAGAGGCACCCTCAGAAGTTAAACTCCTTTGACTATAGCCAGAAAAATTTCTGAATTCTCATGGTAGATCTAGCTGTCTATACAAATAAATAATTACATTGTAAGTCATCTCATTAATTTCAAGTAAACAGGCAGTGCATAAATATTGTAAGTAAATAATAGTTGTAACTAGTTTCCCTTTCCCCAATTTGTTTTTAATCCAACTTTTAAAGCATTTATCATTTCAGGGGGCTGTGCTTTTTAAATTTTTAGCCTGGAGGTAGGGTCTTATTATAAGGTACTGGAGGAACCTCTATAGTAGGACAGAAGTTGCATAAATGAATCGCTATTATTATTTCCACTACTATATTGAACTCCACCAAGTATAGAGACATTTGCAGCTCTGTATAGATAGAAGACACTAGCTGTTCTTTGAACATATGAATCTTCTCTTGATCAATTCCTAGAATATGATCTTCATTTACTGGAGTTTCTATAACAGGGATGAGTTAAGATTTAAAAACATATTGATGCATTATGCTATTAAAAGAAATACAAATTTCAGGCTCTACTCCTTAAACCTGATTTCAAACTAAGCACCACATGAAAACAGAGGATGTTTTGATAAACAAAGAAAGCTTAGGCACCACCATAATCCTCAGTTTACCTATGACAGACATTTCTATGTATGGCCATTTTTTTGTTATGGGACCAAATAGAATATAATCGACCCTATTTATTTTGTAATATGCAGAGAGGTTCTTGGCATATTACATATAAATAGAGTCAATTATTAAACTGAAATATTCTATTTGGTCTCATATCAAGATTTAATAACGGACCCTATTTATATGAATTATGCAAAGAACCTCTTTTCCTTTGTGTGTCAAACATATATAAAGTTCATACTTAATAACTTGGAAACACTGATTTCAACATATCTTTTGTTGCTGTTACTAAGGTAAAATGGAGTTTGAATATATTAACTGGGTCCAGAATTTATGTTTGCAAAGGTTAAGCCCCAATATAACAGGTAATTACTGTTAGCATTCTATTTTCAAACAGCAGAAACGGTTAACTTGCTATTGTTCAAAATGGACTGCATAAGCAATGTATATATTAAAATATACCTGTGCATATACATAATGTGGAATAATCATATCTTCTATTACATTATACATTTTGTCATTTCAAGGGAATGGCTAATTTCTAGTCTCAATTCTACCCAACAAGCAATAGTTGACAAATGTCAAGATGGGTATTATAATGTATCATTTTTCACATTGTACTTAATTTTTTTTTATTATTGCAATATCAGTGCATTCATTTCTATAAAAAAAAACCTAGAGCACCTCTGCCTGAAGTATAAAATGCACATTACTGATATGAATTCAAAGTATATGGCACCATCTGTTGAGAGAAATCAACAATGCATATTATTGTCAGCATATTCTTAGGGTATGTATAAAAAACATGACAGTATCTGGATTCTAACAGTACTACTGCGGGAGATGGACAGCGTATAAACAAGCTGAGTGAAAAAAATAGTTTTGAGTAGATCAAGCTTTTCTCAACCTGGGGATTAGGAACCCTGGGGAGGTTGCGAGGGGGTTTCAGAGGGATCACCAAAGACGATCAGAAAACATATAACCCTTTGGGCTCTGCATGTCTTTCTCTTCCTTTTAGGAAACAGGCGGCCACTCCTCCCACCAAAAGCCCTCCTCCGCTGTGATTGGCCGGCTTCTCAGCCAAGGGGAGGGCTGTTTCTGAGAATCCAAGCAAGGAGAGAACAGGCGTGCTTGGCACATGGCACGGTGGTGCGCATCTGCGGGAAAGGGAGAAAGAGTGAGGCTGGAGGGAGGCTTGCGCCAGCAAGTCCCTTCAATGCATGGGAGATGTTTGGCCCAATTCTATCATTGGTGAGGTTCAGAATGCTCTTTGATTGTAGGTTAACTATAAATCCCAGCAACGATAACTCCCAAATGTCAAGGTCTATTTTCCCCAAACTCCACCAGTGTTCACATTTGGGCATATTGAGTATTCGTGCCAAGTAAAATACAATAGTTTCAAAACAGAAAAGCGTTTAAAACATAATTTGAAAACATTCATACCTATAAAATGTCAGTTTTAATCCATAGTTTGAAATCGACTGAGGAGGCTTGTCAGAAAAGATCAGTATTCAATTCTTTTTAAAGTTCAGACAGCCCGTTTACCTGTTGAATCTCTTCCGGCAGTCATTCCAGTCTAGGGATGACCAATGAAGATCCTTTAGTAACAGTTGTCAGTCACATACTAGCTGGTTGAAGTCAATGTCCCCCAGAGGACCTAAATATACAGTGCTGATTGTACAAGAAAAAGTGATTCCACAGATAATCTGGACCAAAACCATGTAGGACTAACCAACACTTTTTTCTTTGCCCAGAAACAAATGATCCAGGAAAGTCCCAAAACATTGGGAAAACATTCATCATATCCTCCTGGGTGTGATAATAAATAGATATATTGCTAACTTTGTGTATGTGTATGTATGAAAATAGGTAGGTGGAGATGCGCCCCCCCCCCCAGGACTTCTGAAGATCTAATGTAGCCCGCTATCCTTCCACAATAGCCCACCCCACTCTACAGAGTTTCCTATCTTCTGCACTTTGATAGCAGTTTATAACCTACTTGGAAGGTATTTTGTATGTCTTGACCAGTACATAATTTTTAAAGTCAACTAAAAGAAAATCAACAAGAAGCTTTTCAGAGTTTCCAGCTTTATCGGCCATGCTCACTGATTCTGTGGCCCTACATTCTTCCAAATAAATTATTTCAAAAATGGGGAAATATGGTGTAATGATACCACCAATCACAGTCTTAATCCTTTTGCTGATCTTGGATGCCAGGACTGTAAGACTGAAGTCAATATTTAGAAGCAGGCAAGGTCTATACAGTCAGTCCTCCGTATCCATCAGTTCTGCATTTCAATCAACCAAGGTTCAAAAATGTTTTTTTCGGGGGAGGGAAAGTGACAAAGCAAATCTATGTACCAAGCACAACACTCTTTTTTCGTGTCAGGAGCGACTTGAGAAACCGCAAGTCGCTTCTGGTGTGAGAGAATTGGCTGTCTGCAAGGACATAGCCCAAGTGATGCCCGGATGTTTGCTGTTTTACTATCCTTGTGAGAGGTTTTTTTTCCATGCCCTCGCATGGAGCACAACACCCTGATGTGTAGACATCACCGGCTATCACTTCCTACCATTTCACAGATCCTCAAGCTCTCTCTAGCACTCCCTTTTACTATGCCATTGTATCCAATGGGATTTGAAGCATCAATGGAACAAAATCTTAGTAGATACTGAGGGCACACTGAATTTTGTACTAAACTAGCAAAAGCACTTTCAACAAAGCCTAAGCCAATTAATATGATCCTGGTAGGATGCAACAATCCTATTCTTTTTGAAATTCACATAATTCCCAGATTTTTCTTCCATTAGAAGAAAAGTATACAGCGTTCCCTCATGTATCGTGAGTGTTCCATTCCTGGACAACCTGCGATAAGTGAAAATCCGCAAAGTAGGGACACCACATTAATTTTAATATTTATACATTACTTTATATATTTTATATATTATTTTCTTACCCACACTTCCTTGCCTGCTTTCCGGCCCATCCCAAGGGTGCCTGCCTGCCTGCTTGCTTGCCTGCCTGCCTCCCTGGCCTCCGCAGAGCCTCCGGAGCCAAGCAGGCAGGAGCAGGCCAGGGAGGTCTCTGGCCTCCACTGGATGTACATATTTAATATTTTTATTAATATTATCAAAAAACCGCAAAACAGTGAGTCCTCTAAAAGCAAACCCCGAAGTAGAGAGGGAACACTGTACATTAGAAAAGAGTTACAATGGCCTTTTAAATATCCTGAGATCTCTTGATGCACATCCAAAATAAACAATGGCACAGAGAACTTTTATTTGTCATGCTTCAAAACACTGCATACAGTTTGCCACACAATTACATGAGCTATTATCATTCTGAAAATTACAAAAATAGTTCTTATATTTTATTATTTCTATACATAAATTGTATGTAATTTTATACAATGAGCACTCATAGTGGTAAATTCACATCTTCTTTAAAAAGCAGGTCACGACATTACTTTTTATGAAGAAGAAATAGCTAGGATTGATTATGGTTTACCTTACTTTCAACAATGAAGAACTTGGCTGTGCTGTTACAGATGTGCCCAGTCTAATCTAGACAAGGATAAAATGACACATAGACATTCAGCAATATTAACAATTATATAATATGCTTTGCATATTTCATCTGTATATCAGGAACAGCTTTTCTATTTGTGGTGGCAAAGTTTTAGAAATCACAATGCCAAGGAAAAAAGGCATTCAAGACACATGTGTGATAGCAAAGAATAATGCTACTTTGATTCTTTCTGCACAATAGATCTTTGTGAGCTAAATAATTTTATAACTATTTTCATAAATGTCTATGCTCTTTTACCCTAAATACACTGGTCTACATTACTTATCACCATGTTCACCAAGTTTGTATGGCAGCAATGCTGGCCTGAGTCTTTAAATATAAGGCTAAAAGACATAGTTTAGCATTATGGGAATAGACTGCAATGAACCCCTAGCACTCCAACTCTATTGATATAAACAGAGGCTGAAAACACTCATATGAATAAACGGACCATTTTTCATTACAGCCTTAGAAAAAGTGCAGCTTCTTCAAAACAGCCAATTCAAATTAGTTGGAATCTTATTACAGCTTTCTCTTATACCACTACATTCCGATTTAGCATTATATTTGAATTGAATTATGCTGAGTAGCTCATTCTTTACAAACTATGTCCAGTTGCTTTATTTCGCTGCATCAAAGGATAAATTAGAATCATACCAAAATAGTTATAAAATTGTACAGAAATATGTACATTACACACAAAGTGCATTTAAAAGAACCTCAAAATATGTTTAAAAAACCCAATGGTATCTTATATTACAAGTGAGATGGAATTCAAGAACAGTGCTGAAATTACATTTTATCGGACAGATGTGCATCATTAAGGGGGTAAAAATGAACTGTGATTGTATAGTGATTGAATTCAGGATCATTGTAAATTGTTTCCTACGTTAGACAATATCGGCTTAAATAATTTGCACTGAATTGCCTAATGCCTTTCCCTTTCCTAGTACAATTTCAGTCGTCACAGTGCAATGTGAAGACTGCCATATTTTATCAATTTAAAGTGGAATATTCTTAATGAAAGCTATTAAGAATTTAATTAATATCCATAGTGGGGATGTTTTTCGAACAGCACAGGCAGCTCTTTCAAGGTGAAAACAATGCATGCATATATCCTCAGAAACTGTAAGATATAAATGAACCTCCTATTGTACCCAGAACAGAAATAATGAAGTGCAACATATCATTTTCAGGTCATGATAGGAATCAGGCTAAAGGGATATTCAACTAAATTCTCTTTCCCAAACACTCATACCCTGCATGGATCACTTCCAGTCAAACCAGTTTATAATGGTCTTAAATGCTTCTTTAAGGACCTTTTTGATTCAGGAATTGATCTTTCTTAAAAATGTATCCATTCCATATTCACCTTATCTGCAACTCTGACCTTTCTCCTAAAAGTGTTGTACAATCAAATCCTTATAGCAATTTATGAGCTCGAAAATTATTTTCTTTCAAACACAGCATTAAAAGTTTCAACAAAACTAATATCATCTAAAGGTATATAGGTGATATATAAAGGTTGTATGTGCCAGGTTCTGTTTGTGTCATTTTAGTCGTATCATTTGAAAATACTGTTATTTCCATCTTACTCTATATGGTGGTTGTGTTTTTAACACTCCTATGCACTGAACAATTTATATTCTTCACTGCTATCCTTTATCTTAATGTATAAACCTCATAAATTTTCTATAGGCTACTAAAGAAGACTTGACCATTTACAACCATTTATTTCTTTATATCTTAAACCTACAATTGTTACAGCATGAATTAGAAAAGTTATTTTTGAGGTTTTTTATTTATCCTGTCCTTAGGTTACATTTGTTGTACAACTTTTTAAACAGCATTTTTGATCAAAGGATTAAGACATCTTGTATAAAGAAAATATGACACTTTTGGAATTAATAACCTGCTACTCTTTTGTTTATAAACTTAAAAAATAAACACCCACCACCCTGTTTTTAAGGCTTCACTAACTGTCTGTTGTAATCCACTTATTTCATTTTGGTCCAAGAGTGGTTTCCTTATTTGAACAAAGCTATTCATAACTGCTCTCTGTTCAGAGCAGAAAGAATGTTAAAAAGTGTTCTCATGAGAAATTTCCCCATTATAGTTTGCTAAACTGATTCCAGAAATGATACACAGCAAAATACTAACACATCAATATATAGGCATTATGCCAATTAGCAATAACATACTCTGCCATACTGCAGAAAACCCAAGCTTTCAGATATAAACCTATACAGATTTCTTTCTGCCATCAAAGCTTGTAACAATGATGGCTATCAAGTAAAGGACATTATAAGCATTAATATTAAACAGAAAAGTAAGAATTTACAAGTTTGTTACCCAGGATCTGGGACTATTTACATTTGTAAGTGCAAACATAAGATATAGGCAAAAATGGACATGATCCAAGCCAGAACTAAACACCTCCAAACTACACTGATCTGCATGATCACATTTAGCTTACAATTTTTTTCATAGAACCCAATGAACTTCAAAATACTGAAATTGCATGACATTTAATCTAGTCTTTCATAATTTTTAGTAACAACTTTGTTGCCTAGCAAAGAGGGACTGCTGTTATGATGGAACAGACTTTCCCCAGTTTGCTAGCTAGATCCCATTCAAATGAAAATACAGTGCGTACCTAGTGTAAAAAGTGTAACAGCAAATGACAGTGTAATATTGTACCTTTCACCAAAATGTCCACATTATACTCAAAAGGCCCTATCTCTATACAGCTATGATGGCACGGGAGCTCTTATGGAGCAGCTGCTTCCAAAACTACAATGATATCCTTAAAAGGGAACCCGTGATAGACAGGTGACTGGTAATTCTGTTTCCCTTGCCAGTATTCCTAGGAGTAACAGATACAGTCATTTAATCATTATAATCATTTGACTTCCAAATGGAAGGTGGAAAGGAGTTGTCAAGCCAGCAATTCTAGAACTGATCATTTGTTCCTTGAATGAATTCTCACTGATGATCAACATGTGGAAGTATACTTGCACCCACAGACGCCCACAGACACACAAGCTCTTAAAGACAAAATACGGATATACGAGAACTCTGAAATCTGGTTATTTATGCCAAAGTGTTCTTCCGCTACAACTAATACATTTTACATTTGCTTCTGTCAGAAGTCTACAGTTAAATATGACCCAAATTACAATGAAGTGAACTTGTGCAGAAATTGAAAGAGTTCTGAGAAAAGCACGCAGGCCACCAACCACTTTATAAGGATCAATAAGTATGCTTCAACTTCTATAAAAATTAGGTTTTCTTTAATGCACTGTATTTTACTCCCCTTCTTATCTCCATTACTACAAATATGAACCAATCAAGTGGTATTCAGTTTCTCAAGCTAACTGATAATAACAAGTACTTCAGTTGAATGGGATCTTTTAAAAACATAATTCCAACATTGATAACAGAGTTGTGATTTAAATTATTAGATACAAATATGTCCTCTAATCCTACAATACGACCACACTGGTTTCATGTAACAGATTAGACCTTCATCTATGCTAAGTCAGAAGTACTGAAAATATCATGTCATTAGCTTATTTCATTATATGCTTGTTAGTGGCACACTGTCATGTATACAATTTAATGATTGTATACTGACTTACATATCATGAAGCTTTATTTCCACAGGGAAATACAAGTATATTTGAGTTTGCCCATCCCTTAGTGTTAACAATTTGAAATAATACATACACACTTGGAGTAGAAGGGAAGGAAATATGAAGTGTGAATATATACAAACTGCTTCCTTTCTGTTCATGCCTCAAAATATAAAAGCCTTCAAGTCTAACATATATGTATCCATCCACCTCTTTCAGTAGTACCAGACATGGTTGAAAGTCCAACTTCTGATGGTAAATGAAAGAACCAACAGTCATTTTCTTTTGTCACACAGGTATCTCTCTCCTTCTTTACTGAGGAGGCAGAGGTACATTTAGATACTCTGATTGTCCCAGCTGGTAAGTTGTGTTTCCTCCACAGTCTACATATTGGTATCGCTCTTGAGATATTTGTTCAGAGTGGCCAAAATATGAGGTGGTCACAGTCACTCTGCAAGAAACAGTTGGGGGGGGGGGGAGGCATATTATACACAAGTTTTTAAATAGTAATAACATAATAACTTTATTTTTATACCCCACTCGGGATGGCTTACATGGGGACCAAGCCCAGTATACAACAAAATTTACCAGCTAAACACAGTTAAAAACACAATAACATATAACATAAACAATCTAATCCAGACTATTAGACCAGCAGAGTATAAAAACATTGTAAAAGTTTATCAAACCAAACTCAACAACCAATAACCAGGAATATAGTGAGCATGAAAAGCTCATGAGCACATTTACTTTATTAACTAAGATACACCTTTACTGGTTTCACCAAATGTATCCAAACATTTGCTTGTCTAAAGATCCTTTTATTTGCTTCCCCACACTTCACAACAATAAATGAGTATCAATAAAACTATATAAAAGAGAAAGACAGGAGGAGAGAGTAAATGAAAGTTCTACTCTTTGAATAAAAGGGGAAATTGAGATAGTATTTTGCAAAATTAGCTTTTTGTGTGAATAAAAATCAAATATACTTACTGCATCATGACTACTATGTTATGTACTTTGATAGAAACTAGGGTACAAAAATCACTGTAAGAAAGAAAACAGCATTAGCACATTCGCTATCATGAAAAGTCAGAAAATTTAAATAAACATGTTTCCTTTATTTTTTTAGCTGCTCTGCCCTGCCTCTCTTTCCCTCAAAAGTAGGTTGAATGCAACAGGGACAAGAAGAAATCAAAGCCATTCAAAGATTCTATATTTCCCTCATTTTCCTGCATTCCACACTTTTGTGCTTTGCTTCACATGAAATAACCTAAAACAGAGATGGAGAAAGGATGACATATTATGTCTCAAGGCTTCCTTCTAACTCTACACACTGGAATTTATTTGTGTGAGGGTGCTTAAAATGACAATTGGGGCAACATAATTGGACGTTTAGCCATAGTTTCCCTTCCCTAATTGTTCAAGACTGGTGGCAAACTTTTTGAAAACATTTTGACCTTATGGGCTAATTGAGTCCAGCTATTCAAAGATTGGGCTACACTGTGATATCTCTCTGCTACATCCCTGTGAGAAAAAATCCTGAGAGTCAAATACTTACAACATGTAACTCATCTCATCTTGTATAACAGTTGGCACCATATAATCAATCTGGAGGAAAAACACAAGAAAACTGTGGATAAGTCTCTCAAAACTTTGCTGCAAAAAGTAGTCATATATTATTTGACAAAGCTATATGTACCTGTTTCATATCCAAGGGTCCAATATGGGTGTTATTGTTTAATCGTGCTTTTCCAATAACAGTCTTTGAAAACTGTACCTGGGCTGTAATGTTTTCAACTTCAACAGAGTAATAATTGTTGTTTGTTATGTTCAATGTATTCTATAGAAGAAATAGATTAGAATTTTAAATTAAATGAGACCAGTGTCATCCCAAATGTCTATCTAATGTCCCAAGAGGCTAAGGAAGTGCAAGAATATGCAATAATAATCTTACCGTAATATTTAAATATATGATGCGCCTCTGTGCTTCGTAACTAACATATACTGACTTGACTCCGATGTATTCCACATCAATAGATCGCGGAAATAAGAAAAATACCGCCAGGCCAGAGAGTAGCAAGCAAACGATTACAGAGGCAGTCACGTAAAGTTTTCTGTAGAAAAGACAAGTCAGATAACCAATATGTATCTATTTTTTAAAATTCAAACACTAGCCCTGTATGTTTTCTTTGCATTATGTACGTTTATTTTATTGATATTAATTTATAATATTTGTATAGCCCTTACAATTATATAGAATACACCAGGAAATACACACACACACACACACACACACACACACACACACACACACACTGTATTATGTATGTATGTATGTAAGGAGGGGGGTGGGGAGAGAGAGTTATGTATTGTTTTCTATTGTTATCTGTTTATCTATCTATCTAAATTGAAATAAATTAAACACACAATTTAAGTAAAAATAATCCCATGGCCATAGAAGACATTATGAAGCAAAGAAAGCCCTTGAGAAAAAAATTATCTTTTTAGAAGGCTCCAACTCTCACTCTGTATGAGATGGAAATTCCAAAGGCATACTGAAAAAGCTAATTTTCAAGACATTACATGATCAGATTCTGTTGGCCACAGAAGGATTGATACAGTCCCAAGTTTTTTAAAGGTTTGTATATCTACAATGGAATACTGAATATAACTTGGAAATTAATAGACAGCCTATGCAGTTCTTTTAAGACAAGCAAAATGCATGTACAGATGAGTGATTCAGGTTCAGCTTTCAAGCCAGTCACAAAGCCAACCCTGTCCAACAGCTGAATCATGAAATTAGATTAATGATGCTCTCTGTTATTTAACAGAATTTTGGTAAAGCTTTGCTCAACCTGCTGCTTTCTTTGCCACTCAGTCATTCTAAGGCAAGTTATATTCCTCACATACTCAAAGTTCCACCCCGTAGTCTAAGATCTGCTGGGGAGGCCCACAGGCATTACAAACGCGTCTGGTGGGGATGAGGGACAGGGCCTTCTCGGTGGTGACCCCCTGCTTGTGGAATTCGCTCCCCAGCGAGATTAGATCGGCGCCCTCCCTCCTTTCCTTCAGAATAAAACCTAAAATCATGGTTTTGGAACCAGGCTTTTGGCTAGTGGGTGCAGCAGCACTTTGAACATGGAACTGGACCTGATGACTGTTATGATAATTGGAAACGGATATGTGATTATATAATTAATTGTTACTGCTTTTAACCTTTTATGTATTTATGGTTTTATACTGGTGTTTATTGATATTGTGGTATGGAATTGCTGCCTGTGTTAGCGGGGTAAAATGTTGTTAATAAAATAATAAAATAAAATAAAATAAAATAAAATAAAATAAAAAAGAGTAACATGCTGCCTAACTGATGAAAATGTGGGGGCAAAGGAATGCAGCATGAACAACAAAATTAATGGTTCCTGCTTGTTCATAATTACAATTAATACACCTTGGGCTTCCTGAGCCATCCCTAAGCTTTTGAGACTGTGGTTGCAGAATTATTGCAATATGAGACCACTTTGACAGCCTACAGTCCATCCTATGGAATCTTGGTGTTTATAGTTTGTTGTAGCATCAGAACTCTGTGACAGAGCAAGGTAAATATTTCACAAAATTCAAAATCTCTGAATTCTTTAGCAGTAGTTATGTGGTGTCAAACTACTATAATTCTGCAGTGTGGATACAGCCTGTTTTGGCAATGCACATTTTGTGGCTATAACATCAAACCTTACTTTAGGAAGTTTATTTTCCCTTTCCCCTGCTTTGTGAATCACCTAGCCCAATGAAGAGTTCTGGAAAACTCAAACGTTTGCATATTTCTGTGGCATTTGGCTTGGTTCTAATAAAAACTGCACAACTGTGGGTTTTGGATCTCTAGGCTTTTAACCACTGGGGAAAGCATCTTTAATATCATGGCTATGGAAAATAGATGGTTATAAACAAAAAAAGGGTGGATGGGCATACCTTGATGTTTAATTTCTCTTGATGGTTTATGTCTCCTAGTCTCACAAAGACTAACGTATTGACCTCAGCCATACTGACCCTTCCCCCTTCCCTTGGATTTATCTAATGAAACATGGGAACAATCCAGTATTGTTAGAAGTTTGTGCCAAAAGTAATCAGGAGTATCCATAACAAAGCAATCCAACCTGTATCTCAGGAAGCTCGGTGCTTATGAAATATACAGGTGCATAGGAATAATTCCAGCTACCAGATAGCAAACAGCAGAGTATTTCATCAGAATCATACTTTTCGATACATTTGATTAGACAAAAACCTTACTTCAAAATAATCCATGCTCATTGTTACCACAACTTACGTTCTTCTTGGCCTCAGCCTCTGATCGCTGTATGGAATCAGGGCAACAAGCTGGTTTTCCTGTCCTAGAAGCAGAAGGGAATAATTGCTCAGTATCCATGATTCCACAGTTCTGAGCCATGGCAGTTAAAATACTGTCAAACTACATTAATACTACTGTGTAGATTAACCCAGATATTTTAAAAAGACGCATTTTAAAGGGCAGCAGTGGTTATGTTGTTCATGCATTTAGAGATTAAGTATACATTCTAGACCTACCACGAGGGATCCTCCCTGTCCCTTGACAAGTGGGGCATGTGACGCTGTCTCTTCCAGTAAACTCAACATATGGAAATTGTGACACATCTCCATTTCTTCCATCTTCACTGTGAGATTCCGAGTGAACTAATCCATTCCTCATGTTGTCAGACGATGAAATCCCATCCTCTTTAAAGGCATGTGAAGGCATTGAAAATGATTTCCCCATGTCTGGTGACAGTAAAGTTAGAAAAAGATATCAGCCACGCATGTCAAACACAAGGCCCGCGGTCCAAATTTTATTTGCCCCCCCCCCCACAAGGCTCTCAATATCAGGGCAGTATAGTTACATGTATACAGTCTTAAATCACAAATGGCCCTTGAAGGCAATCATAAGGCTGATGTGGCCCTAAGTGAAAATGAGTTTGACACCCCTGAACCCCCATTACGTAAGTTCACTACCGGGTTCAATGCAAAGTGCTGGCTTTGGCCTATGAAACCATAAATGGTTCTGGTCCAACTTCCCTGTATCTCCCTTTAGGAGCTAACTAGAGCTTTAAGGTCTGCTCAGGAGGCCCTACTCTCGATCCCACCCCTTCACAAATGCGACTGGTGGGGACGAGAGACAGGGCCTTTTCAGTGGTGGCCCCTCAGCTGTGGAACTCCCTCCCAGGTGACATCAGGCTAGCCCCCCCCCCCCCCCCGGTTTTCAGGATAAAGCTAAAACCTGGCTTTGTACACAGGCGTTCGGAAATTAAGGAGGTAATATGGATTTCGACTTCAACAGTTTGAATAATGACTATGGAAAAATCAATAAGTATGGAAAATCAAGACTCGGCACTTTGTACATTTTAATCTGTTTCATTGTATTTATGTTTTAACTGCTCATATGTTTTAAGTGTTTTATTGTTTGATAGGGTATGTTTTATTGCTATGTCTATGATGCCGCATTGAATTTTTGCAGGAGCTTGTAAGCTGCCTTGAGTCCCCTTCAGGGTGAGAAAGGCGGGGTATAAATAAAGTAAATAAATAAACAAACAAATCAACCATAGAAGTTTTTGTTTGGGTAACTATTAATAAGACTACTTTTGTTATTCTTTCAGAAAGCTCTTCTACCGATTCTTAAGATGGTGAAGGCTTCTGGACAGACATTTCTGAAAAAGTCAACAGATGTAAGCAAATACAAGATCTTTGAGTGCATATTTTTAGAATCTGCTATAAACCATAAACCGAAATATAATTTAGATAATTTACACAGGCATACGCTTCAGAATTTTTTTTCACCACTATTGTAACCAAACTATATTTTCTGACTCTAATTTGTAAATATTCAGATCAATTACTTAATGCATTTTTTGCAAAATCCTATTAGCCACTGTTGCATTTTAGTATTTTCAGTTACCAAGAGCAGAAAACTCTCTTTAATAAATATGTAGCTAGCTTATCAACAGATGGCATTAATCATGGCTTCATCCTTTAACTCTACTTAAGATCTTAAATTAATTTAAAATAATACCAGGTTTGTAATTCATTGTTATTTTAATCCCCATTCCACGTTGATTGTTTCAACTCCTGTTTTATTCTCTGTCTGGTTTCAGCTTTTGTTTTTTTAAAGGGTTTTGTTTTTGTTTTAGGGTTTTGTTTTGTTTGGTTTTTTTTGCATTTTAACATGCAGGCTTTGTGACTCATTTCATTTTGTTGCTTTTGTATTGTATATCTAAATTTCTTATGACATGGTGTTATTGATTGAATACACTATAAAGCAAGCCAATATCTAAAACAGTTTGTTTGGTTTGGTTTATTTTGTTATTTGGTTTGGTTCATATTGTTATTTTTTTATTTTCACATGCTATATTTCAAACGCTATCAAAACAAGAAAGCCCATGATAAGGTCACCTTAGGGTTGCTACAAGTTGGGAATAACTTGAAAACACAACAACAAAATGCAAATTACAAAAAAGTCACAACTGCCAACATTTTCTGCTCCTGTGTATTTTCTAGAGACAATTACTGTTATTACTGTCAGGAACAAACACAGCGAAATGTATTACTGTACTTTTAATTAGACAATTTTCCAAAACACTCAAATCCACTGCAGTCTCTTATCATTTGGAACATCAAAGGAGTAATTATTGCAAGTACCACATCTACCCCAGAAGATAAGCAAAACAAAAATAATGTCATGATTATCAGTGCAAATATAATACATGTTGTTTGATGTGAACCATAACTTACAAATCTACCATGAATTATGACTTAACATTCATTAATCTGCAGGATACTGGTAGGCATGTTCAATGGTATGCAATGTACATGCATGTCTTAAGAGGGCCTACATTTCAGGCATCCTCTTTATTTAAAGAGTCCCAGGAGGAAGAAAACTGTTTGAGGCCCCAAATCTGCTTGTACCAAATGTTGAAGGTGCAGAATAAACAGATCATGAAAGATAATTTTACTGAACTAAAAAAACAAATGAGTAGTGAGGCAAAGTGCAACATAGATTAAAAAAACCCCTAATAATATAAAAAAATAATTTCAATCCAGTCAGTATGTGGCAGAATAAAAAAAAAATCTGATTTGGCATAAAAATGGATTCTGCTCAACAAAAAAGCATGCAATAATTAAACTTTTTAAGAGCTACAGCATTCGATGCTAGAAACGTCAAATGGGAATCAATTCTGATGACTGACCACAGCCCAGCAAATCAAGTTCTCTCATGAATAGCTATTAACACTTTCCAGTGCTGGATGTCCAAGAAACCTATATACAAGGTGATACACACACACAGGCAGTTCCTGAGTTATAAACAACCAACTTACAAACAGTTCATATAGGCAGTCCCTAAGTTACAAATATCTAACTTACAAATGACTCATAGTTACAAGCGGGAGTGAGATAACAGAAATTGAGAGAAATCTACCCCTAGATAGAAACTACTTTTTTCACTCCTGAAAAAGTTATCATGGGGAAAAGGGGAGTCCCCTGAAGCTTTGTCACCAATCCATGTTTCTACAACAAGCCACATTTTTCAAAATCCAATAATCACAAAGACAGAAAGTGTGCTGAAATCTTCTGAACAGGGGCACAGTGAGCAAAACGTACACCACAGGCGTGTTAACCCCTCCCTATGCTATTCAAAGCTTTTATGTGCGTGTAATGTTTGGTTGGAGTAACACTTAAAAATGTACCTGTTCTGCCTTACATACAATTTCCACTTATGAACAAACCTACAAAACCAATCTTGTTTGGGAACTGTCTTATGTATGTTTGTGTGTGTGTGTAAAGTAAAGGTAAAGGTTTCCCCCTGATGTGGAGTCCAGTCATGTCCGACTCTGGGGTGTGGTGCTCATCTTCATTTCTAAGCCGAAGAGTCGGCATTGTCCGTAGATACCTCCAAGGTCATGTGGTCAGCATGACTGCCTGGAGCGCCGTTACCTTCCTGCTGGAGCAGTACCTATTCATCTACTCACATTTGCATGTTTTCGAACTGCTAGGTTGGCAGGAGCTGGGGCTGACAGCGGAAGCTCACACTGCTCCCCAGATTCCAACCTGCGACCTTTCGGTCAACAAGCTCAGCAGCTCAACGCTTTAACCAACTGCGCCACGGGGGCTCCTGTGTGTATGTGTATGTGTGTAATATATAATTATTCAATATAAATATATAGTATTTATTTAACCTTCAAATAATTACCATTGCTCCTACAGGTTGAATATCCCTTCTCCAAAATGTTTGGGGGGAAAAAGTGTTTTATATTTCAGGATACCTATTATTTGAAAGGCATAACCAAAGGGGAACCCAAGTCTAGACACAAAAGCCAAGCATATCCTCCGTCTCACACAGCATACCATAGTCACTGCCCTTATTTTGCTATGACTTGTCAATACTAGAAATAAAGGGAGGGAGTGGGGAGGGGGGAATTGATATCTGACATCTTGTGAAAAACCACCACTCATCTATTTATCTATTCACTCCTCTATCTATCAACCAGTTAAATCCTTTGAGTCATGAAACTTTGGTCCCATCTACACTGTCATATAATGCACTTTTGGAATGCAGTTTAACTGCATTCAGACACTGCATATGACAGTGTAGATGGGGGCCACAGAAATGTTAAAATACTTTTAAACTACTTTAAAAAACTACACAGATTTTATCCAGGCAAAAATTCTCTGAGAAGGGAAAGGAACTAACCCAGTTCTTGTTATATAATTTTGACAGAAATTTTGCTGAAAACTTTATTTCCCCAAGACTCCCTTCATTCTAATGTCAGTTCTTATCCAATGCATCTATCACAAAAAGAGAGGAAAATTAGATTGCAGTGTTGAGCATCTCTCACCTGAGGCTTCTTCAGGCTGCTCTCTTTTGCAAACGTGGGCCCTTCACCTGGAAAGGCAAATGCATAAACAGCATAAGTAATAAATACACCCAAAGTTTGGCTGCAATGGGGCTGAGGAAGGCCTAATAACCATCTGGGCCTGTGCTGCCCCTTTCTCCCCAGTACGCATGCGCAGAGTCATCTCTCATGGCTAGTAGAGGCGCCTCTTGTTGTTGTCCCCCCCCCCCCCCGCAGAAACGTCGCTTTGGTAAAGCCCTTCATTGGTTTTATGTAGGGTTCTACCAAAGCGGTACTTGCCGTAGGGGGGTGCTATTAAGACTGCAGCATTGTCGTCTGTCCCTCCCCCCTTCGCAGGCTGTATTTTGGTACAACCCTCCATTATTCTAAAGAGGGTTGTACCAAAGCAGTACATGCGGAGGGGAAATATGTGGGAAGACGAAAGGCAGGAAGAAATCCACTCACAAATACCACTCCCCAATGATTTTTGTCTCTCTCGCGTATTCCAACAATGTGGAGACGAATTTCGTAGGGAATAATTATTGGGAGGGGGAAGTCTGTCAAAATGATAGCTTCCTGGGATTTGTAGTTCAGAACCCTGAAGGGAAAGCAGGCTGACTTTTCTAGCGCTAAGTGGAATTGACTACAGTTCCCAGCATGCTCTTTGCTCGAAGGTGAAGCCCTGCGGTAATTCCACCAGACAAAACACCCTTAAGTTTTCCCCTTTAACCACAAAATAATATGGAATATTACAGAAGAGAGATCTAGGATTTCTTTTTACCCCATGGAATTTTTTAATACACATACTTAAAAAAATACAATTGTATTACAAATGTTACATCTTTTGATCTAGACAGGAATTCCTCCCACAGGAATCCTTGTTACTTGATCCACTGGATAAGGAATGAGCAGAAACCATTTGTCCAAGGGTTCATCTACATTGCAGAATTAATGCATTCTGACACCAATGCTACAGCTCAATGCTATGGCATTATGGGAGTTGTAGTTTTACAAGGTCTTTAGCCTTCTCAATGAAAGGTTCACCAAACTACAAATCCCTGGATTCCAAAGCACAGAGACACAGCAGAAAAGCATTGTCAGACTGCATTAATTTGACAGTGTAGATGTACCCAAAGGCTCTGAAGAGCAGTGTTCAAATTCCCACTCAGCTATGGAAACCCATTGGGTAATTTGGGAAAGTCACACTCTCTCAGCCTCAGAAAAATATTTTGCTAAGAAAACCCAACAACAATAAACATTTAAATCTTGTATTTTCTCCATTAATTCTGATGTCCCTTCACACTTTAATCCTTACTATGATTCCTCTGTGAAGTAGGTCACTACAAAAATAACTGGCTCAGGACAACCAAGGGTGCATCTGCACTGTGCATCTGCATTAATGCAGTTTGATATCCAATTTCACTGCCACAATCAAGGCTATGGAATCCTGGGATTTCTAGTTTGGTGAGGCAACAGCACTCTTCTTTACCTTGTAAAACCACAGCTCCCATGGCAGTTAAAGTGGTGTTAAACTATATTAATTCTGCTACGAAATCATGGGAGTTGCAGTTTTATAAGATCTTTAGCGAACTAGTTGTTGCTGTTGTTCATTCGTTCAGTCGTCTCCGACTCTTCATGACCTCATGGACCAGACACGCCAAAGCTCCCTGTCGGCCGTCACCACCCCCAGCTCCTTCAAGGTCAGTCCAGTCATTTCAAGGATGCCATCCATCCATCTTGCCCTTGGTCGGCCCCTCTTCCTTTTGCCTTCCACTTTCCCCAGCATAACTAGTATTGGTCCCTAATTACACTATTAAAGCTATGGAATTCTTGGAGCTATAGTTTGGCAAGGTACATGCACTCTTGAGCAGAGAAGGTTAAAGACCTTCGGAAACTACAATTGCTAGAATTCATGAAGTATACATCTATACTGTAGATATATCTACCATAAATTTCAGAAATTAAGGTGGGTGGGGGGAGCCACATTCTAACTACTGCACCAAATGAATGGTCACAAAGATGTACCTTGCACGTGCTCGTGGCTATTCTGATTCTTATTTTGCATGAAGAACTTTCTAAAGTAGTGGAATGAAAGGTGTTGGTTTCAGAAGACCAGCCAAGCAGCCAAAACTTTCTAAAGCTTATCCATTATTACCATCAGGTTGATGGTAATCAGGCTGATGGCATCAGCTCTCTGTCCTTCCGTAAGAGCCTGAAGACCTGGCTATTTGAGAAGGCATTCAACTGAGCGCTACGGCAACTGGTAATTGACAACTGGAACGGAATACGGATTACGATATTGGTTATGATTCTATGATGTGACGGAGCGGATTATTTAGTGTAACCAGATTATAGTGTATTATTGTTGTATTGATTCCCTGTTTTGCCCTTTTTGTAAACTTTTTTTATATGTTGTGCACCGCCGCGAGTCGCCCTAGGGCTGAGAGCGGCGGTCAATAAATGCAGTAAATAAATAAATAAATAATAAATACTGTACCTTTCTAATGTGATTTAAAACATGTCAATTTGCCAAATGGTAAAATGCTTCATTTCCCTTTCAAAAGAGACCTCAGCATTTTGACGACATAAATCAAGCCTGTGTTTTTATAAGGCATATCTAAAAATACTGAGGTAATTTCACTGTTGTTATTTTTTATTTCAATATTATTTGCTTAAAATTTTGTTTAGGTCAACGGTAACTTATAACAAAAAAAAACCCCTAAACTGGAAAGCAATATAACATAATTTTGCATTTAGGTTTCATCTAGCAGTCATGGATTTATGAAAAAATTACAGTGGCTTATGTTTATTATTATTATATATTTTAATTAGTATGTTTACATTTACATTTCATCCAGATCTTACCACTATGTGCTATGCCTTTTTAAAAAAAAGTATATTCACTTGGTTGTGTTGTTCATAACCTTAAACCACCGCAAGGCAATGGACAAAATATTTAGCCATTAGGTAAAGTTTTTCCCCTGACATTTATTTATTTACTATATTTGTATACCGTTCTTCTCAGCCCTGGGGCGACTCAGAGCGGTTAGCAATAGCAAAATTCAATGCTCAAAAACATCATGAAACAGTTAAAAACAATTAAAAACAGTAGCATAATAAACAGTCAATATAAATCAATAAAATCTCTCATTAAGTCCACTCTGGGGTTTGATGTTCATCTCCATTTCTAAGCCGAAGAGCTGGCGTTGTCTGTAGACACCTCAAAAGTCATGTGGCCGGCATGACTGCATGGAGCAGTCATGCCAGAGTGGTACCTATTGATCTACTCACATTTGCATGTTTTTGAACTGTTAGGTTGGCAGAAGCTAGGGCTAACAGCGGGAGCTCACGTTACTCCCCGGTTTCGAACCCGTGACCTTGCGATCCGCAATTTCGGCAGCTCAGTGGTTTAACCTACTGTGCTGCCAGGGGTTCCACTACTATATCATAATTATAATATTTAGCCAGCTAAATAATCATAATATTTAACCAGTATTACATCAAAATATGGTCTAAAGTTTTAAACAATTACAATCAAGGTGAACCCAATGAAATAAATATAAAGAAATGCTATACAGTACCAGTGCCTGGATGAAACATAGAAAGTAATCAAAAATCTTTTTGAATGTTGAGGTTTCGTAGTGCTAAAAACCAGCATGTGAGAAGACAAACTTTGTCTATAAATTGATTACAAACATTTGTATTTATCCTCATTATGTTGCTGGCAGGGATGGCAGGAGTGTATCTAGGCTGCTCGTGATCCCACCGGCGTCGCAAGCGCGCTTTGTGGGGACACGGGACAGGGCCTTTTCCGTGGTGGAAATGCATTAATTCCAGAGTGTAGATACACCCTGGAAGGCCCACCTCTGCACATAGCGTCAGCCAATATAATAATCTCTCTCTCTCTCCTAAATTATGATAGGATGCACTTACACTATAGCATTAATGTATCTTGATGCCACTCTAACAACCACAGCTGAATTATATGGAATCATGTGGGTTGTAGTTTTACAAACACTTCCCTGTCAAAGTGTGCGGATACCTCACCAAACTATAAATCCCAGGATTCCAGTAGTATTGAGCCAGGGCAGTCAAAGTGGTGTCAAACTGCATTCGTTCTACAATGCAGATGCACCCAAAGGATTATCTGTATTGCACAAATCGCTTTCCGCATTTGCCTTCAAACACCCCTCCAAATTGGGAATAGGGTGATTTTCTACCTCATGACTAAGAAGTGACTAGATGCCCACTTCCCTATGATAAAAATAGCCTGAATAAATCTTGAAAAAGCTGAGCCATCCTTCCCTATGCTCCCAAACACAATGCCAACAGCGTCCCTCTGAAGTCATTCTTGGCCATACTGGTGCAAAATATTTTTTCAGGCCCTCAAATATGGCACATGATAGGGCAGGAAAATGAGTTTGGGGGTGGGGGCAATATCAATACAATAATCAATCCTCATGTATATTCACAGAGCCTGTTGAAATCATCTTGCAACTTCAAAAAGAACAACCATGCCATCCAATTTCTTGTCTCTTCTCCACATCCTACCTTTTGTCGCTGAATCTGACATAAAGTTATAGGCAAACCTGAAAATTCACACCACTTCTGTCTTGCTCTAAAATATTTTGGGTTCAAGTGAAAACTATCACCTTTCTCTGTAGTTTACTTTAACTATATGGCAAACTCAGGACCTCATCACAATAGAGAATGAATCCACTTTAAATCCGGTTGCTGCCTCCTGCACAATTCTGGGGTTTGTAGTTTAGGGAGAAGTCTTTAACAGACTCACTAAACTACAAACCCCAGAATTGTGCAGGAGGCAGAAACTGGATTGAAGTGGATTCATTCTCTACTGTGATGAAGTAGTAGGTATCTAAATTTTAAAGGGTTTAGGACTACTGCTCCTATAATCACTTGTCACTGACCATGCTTAGAATGATAGGAACTGAAATCCAAATCATTTGCAAGTTTAAAGATTTCACATCCCAGCTCTACAAATATATTTTGCAATGAGTCCTGTACTGACCAGAGCAATACTTCCTTCTAA